CGAAGGTAGCTGCAAAATCGATGAAATACGTAATGGTGGATTGGACAGATATTTGAAACAGCATCCTTCTCAGCGTGAATATCTGATGAACACAACCGTATCCCAGGGTCTGAATCCAGCTTGATTAAGACACATCCTGTTGTATATTGCCATGGGTCTATTCAGCAGAAGGGTAGCGAAAATTTTTCTGCCTAGTAAGCTAATTCTTCGGTAACTGTCACAGTATGTCCTGTCATCTTTTAGAAATTGAGACCAGAACTGCTTTGCTCCAGTCATCTACTATTTTCTTCTGTCGTACCAGAAACTTCGACTTTATTCCCGATCCAATATTTACCTATTTCTTAGCACAGCGAACTCAGCTCCATAATTTATAAATACCTGTCAAACAGTATTTATTCTGACAAATGAGTATCTATCTAATGCCTTCCTTTATAATAGTCCATTGCATAATCAGTCGATAAACAATGCTGTATAGCGAACCCTCAAATTTGGGTATTTTAACCTTTTTATTCACAATACACAAAACATAAAACATCGTAAACCTCAATAAAATATGCGAAAACTGGAGTACCATATGCACTCCAATAACAATCGGTGAAGAATGAGGAAGGCATTACGTAGCACCACTGAAATAAATGCCTCTCAATTCCCTGCCTCATTGGGCGAAATTTATCTTCTTATCTTCAACGTTCATTTTCTCAGTATGGAAGATATCTTTACTATCTCTCTCGCTGAGGCACTCTACTTGAAATATTTGCTATTGCCTTTCTTAACTCTTGTTTTTTCTGGCTTCTCGACGCTTTCGATAAGGAAAAGCCATATCAAAAACGAGACCCGAAAGGCCCGCCCAAATTTGCCTCCTTATGCCTTCTCCATTGACGACAGTAAATTTGTTGAAGGTGTGATGTGAAAGGACAATGGACAAAATTTAAAGAATACGGCCCTAAGATTATTTTCCCGGAATCTTAACTTTAAGCTTCTGGATTATAGAGATCATTTCCTGTTCCGCTGACGGTTCGCAATTGCAAACATATGGCTCGATAAGCGGTTCAGCTATACCTGGGGCAACAGATAGCGCATCGTGGTTGTTTGACCTCAAAAAATTCCTTTCATCTTATGGGAAGATCCTTAATAGCATAACACACACCCCCATATCTATTATTTCACTGACCATTCTCTAAATTGTAGTTACTCTGTGGAGGATAGTTTCTTATTATCGCCTGATCGAGCTGCCATCTCTATTCTCAAGGCCTCAAACATCGATTTCTGTCCCGCCTTGCTGCTATCATTTTATTTTTTCGAAGCATAGTAGCCAGAATTTTCTGACATTCTGATTTAGCAATTTTTTCGGACAGTTGCTGCCGATACTTAATTAGCATATTCGCTACTGGCAGTTCCTAGTATGGAAGTGGTTGACTTTCGGAGACATGCCTTTAGTTTCACCAGTATTTATCTGCTGTTCCAGAGAAACCGTTGATATTTATCATTGAGGAGCTCCAATAATTCGATCTGAAGTGCACTTCTGTCCTCTAATCTTTTAGTTAATTGAAAGATCTTGGGAGACATTGTTTCTTACGAATTCTTAATTTTATGCAAATCTTGATAAAAATAATAACATGACCTTATCCATGAAGGTTATCAGTTTCGCTCCAACAGGAACGACTATTTAACATATTCTTTCAGCGGCGATTAAAATATTATTTGATATATTTTACAATTCCGATCAGGAAAAAATTTTGAACGTATAGGTGGACCAGCAATATATGGACGAAGGAAAAAGGAATGGCTTTTATTACTGTGACGATGGCATCAGACGCGTGAAAGCATCTTACCCTTGTAGCCGTTGAAGCTAACCTAACCAGTGATGGTGAAAGCTGTTGGAAGAAGATAACTTCTCTTTATTTCTCTTTATATTATGAATTTTTATTAATAAATATATCCTACATTTGTTATATTATCTACTGTTATTAATATAAGCACATAATACTTGCCGCCCTGCTTGATTATTTTTCAATAAATTAAATAAACTAATCAACTGATTAATTAATTAAATAAATAAACAAATGAAATAAATAAATAAATGAAATGAACAAAATAAATGAATAAATAAAATAAATAAATTAAATAAATATGAAAATAAATGAATAAATATAAATAAATAAAAAATGAAATGAATAGATTACGGTCAATCTGAACAGAGTGTTGGTTATCCAGGAGTTCCACCTAGATGTAGTCTTCGATGCCGCAAGCATGTATTAATAACGAAAAATCCGTGATGATGATCATAATCGGCAAAGCGAAAAAGGCATTTACCACTGGCATACCGAATTCCGATGCAACTGTAAAAATTAAGAAATTATTGATTGGAAGCAGTGGGATGATGTTCGCCTGCCACGTGTTTATTGTATTAGATAACCTTGGTCCGGCTGCTTTCTCAGGACTGTAGAATAAGCATTGACCACCGCATGTACTAATAAAACATTTATTCGTCACCTCAAATTTAAACTTGGATAATTAAACCGATTAATATACAGTTAAAAAAAAAAAGATTCGATTAAACCAAATAGATTATAGATTAGACAAAACAAAAGAAAAAAATAAAGGGATAAGGGATACATTAACAAATGAACATTTAAATATTAATATTAAAACATTAATATTGGGACCTAACCGCTTGGGTCACTAAATGGCGCCTAAAAGGGAGAGAGATTCTCGTAAAAAGAATTTACAACATATACTGTAAATTATCCCTTATGTTTTATTGACATATAAAGTGCAATGACCAAAGAATCGATTAAGTTATGAAAGTTTTCTTTGGCGGGTCGGGCTCACCGGTTTGAAATAATGATTTTAGAAAAAATATCGCATTTCGCGACATTGTCGACTGCCAAAGGGCAATGGACCAAAATCTTTTAAGCCTCAGGAATTTAGAATTTCGATTATTGGATTCTAAATTTTCGAGCTTTCGGAATAAGGGATTTTTGTTTTTTGGATCTTGGGTTAAGAAAATAAAATTTTTGGAAGCCCGAACTTGCCGACCTTGAAAGATAAAAAATAAAAGGGGAAATGCAACTAGCATAATCACTCGAAATTATTAGAAAGTTTTATATGTTCTATTTGATTGTATGACGATATTGGGTTGAAGAAAATTGATCCTCTCATTGAAACTTAAACGGTTAATTTTGTGCGGAATGATGGAAGCTTTGAACAAAGTTAGCAAGGGGAATGTTATAAGGATAAAAAATAAAACTTTGCTCAATTTTATACTTGTAGATTGGATAACTACTGAGTATAGCCTGGGCAATTTGCGTGATCGGAATTGGATATGGTCCAAATCGGCTTGAGATAAATGCTGGATAGGCGATTCATCGAAAGAAGGAGCTGGTCATCATTGCTTTTATTATCTGTTATTTCTAAGGGTTAGAATAATGAAATAGGTCTTGAAAGTTGTTTATCTTTTGCCAACTGTATCGTAGCGGATCTTATGGTGTTATTATCAGATGAATCATGTATAGCAAGAATTTTTGCTGAAGACCATTCACTTCTAACTAAGTTATCGTCATTAAGAAAAACTATTTCATTGACTTTGGGGATGCGATTTGTAATTGATTTCCATTGTCGATGGAACCGGTTTGATCTTTCTCTTAAAGAGTTAATGTAATCAGATTTCCGGATGCCCCAAAATATCCGAAGGGTTTGAGGTTAGTAAGACCAGGTTGATGTAACTGCAGATCTAGAATTATGTTGAGAATCCTCAAGCGAATCGACAGATTCATATCCAAAAAAAAAAAAATTGTCCGGAGATGATCGAGGGCCAGGGAAAATCAAATCAACGGATCACAAGAACCGATATGTGAGTTGGGTTTTCGTCTAAATAGGATAATGGATGCAGATTAACAATATTTTAGGATTTTACTATTAGGATTTTCAGTTGCTCTTCAACTTTTTGCCGATTGAACGCCTTATGGAGCTTTTGACGATAGTAATTTATCTTTCATAAATTCCGCCTTGCCATGATGCTCTGGATATGATAAACCTCCGGTTGTTGTTGCTGGAATCAATCCATTTTGATTTGATCAGTTTAGCTGCTGATCAAAATTGGTTACATAATTGCTTAAGATTGATTTGGGCTGATCTCATCTCACAATGAATCTGCAGAGGATAGCTACTCCTAAATAATTGGCTCTTGTTGAAAGGCAAGTGAATAAGATGATTCATTTCTTTTCGGTGAAATTTTGTGATTTAATGTTTGTGGGTCCAAAAAGATCGACAGCAACTGTTTCGAAAGGACGAGAAGATTGGATTCTGCAGTTTGAAAGGTTTGGCATTTCTGAATGGTTTGGCAGTCTATTTTTTGCATACTATGCAATATCTGTCAATGGTTCTTTTGACTGTTGTTCGACCTTTAGAAATCCAAAAAAGCAATCTGAGTTGGGCCAATGTGTAAGCAGTGCAGCTATGAGCGTTACTGATATGATAATATAACATAAGCAATTCTGTTAACCTGTTTGATCTTGGAAGAAAAATTGCAATTTGGAACTCTTCCGTGGCATCGGAAAAATTCATCTTGCCGTAACTCCCATTTAAAAATATCGTTCATGGATATGCTTTGTTTTTACGCTTAACAGGAAACAGGAGAATTTTGGCTAATTGAATGTCAGAAATGCTTTTTTGTTCATTGAATTTGTTATTCATCCCTAATAGCTTCCTGTTTTTTGAGGTGATGAGTTTTAAGAATTTCACGACTTGAACTGTTGTACTGAGAATCTTCGTCCATTGATTAAATCTTTGAGTATTGATGAGGGTTCCAAGTTTATGTTTGAATACAGTCGGAATTGTATGTTTCTTTGAAAACTTAATTACAGTTGAAATATTAATGAAAACCCGCACTGGTCATAAAGCGGTTTCATATTTTTGGTGACGAAAAGTAAGTTGAAAAGTTAAGCAATCTTTCTCTGTTTTGTTTTAGCCAGTGCGGGTCATGCCACCATAATTGGTGATTAATTAATGAGGATATAGCGGTTTTTTGTTCCTCTAGTGGCTATATCAGCTGGGTTTTCCATCGATAGGATATAATTAAGCTGAACATATTGGACTTTACGAATTTCTAATAATGGGTTTTGAACAAATCGTTCTTGTCCCTTTTGTGAATTATTTATCCAGTCTAGAACAGCTTTATTGTCTGTCCAAAGGTATTGAGCGACATTGCAATCAAGTTGGCTATATACGACAAAGGTTAAAAGTCTTGTTCCAATCAGGACTGCAAGGAACTCCAATCTTGGTACTAAAATAGCTTTAATTGGACAGAGCCTAGATTTGGAAATAATAAAGTGAGGTATGGCAAATGTTATTATATACTAAATATATCACCGCAGCACAAGCCTTGGTAGAAAGAAGCAGTAAAATTGAATAATGTCTTTAATATTTGAAAAGGGAATCACAGGACAGTGTAGACGAATTGTATAAGGTCCCCACTGTTTGGAGATGTAAGCCCATTCTGTATGGGTGTTAAGCTGTAATTTTTGATCCCAACCATATTTCAATCTCCATAAAGATTGTAAGAATAATTTGAAAGGTAGAATAACTGGAGATAATAAGCCGAAAGGATTATAGATTGCTGCCACAAATTTTTCTCTTTGAATCCAAGATGTGGTTGGCGAATGGATGTTCCAAATCAAAGCGTCGTCATGGGCATTAAAAGATATGGATTTTCAACTGGAGTTCGGTGCTCTCATTGACTGCAGGGTTTTTATCCGATTGCTCAATATGTGAATTTATTTCGTTGCTGTTTGAGATGAACATGCGAATGTTTATCATTGTTTGACTAAAAATTGTAAGATTCTGTTTGCAAGATTGGATGGTTATTTGTTGATCATCAAATGTTAGGAAAACGTTGTCAACATAAAGATTATTGATCACTTGTCTAGAAAGGTCATTGTCAATTAACTCCAAATGAAATTTGATTACTGCTGCTGAGAAGAAAAAACTATAGTTGACTCCAAAGTAAAGGAACTCGAGTAAATCGACAGGTTATGACATTATCACCTAATGGGGATTGGTTGGCATTTTTTACCCAAAGGAATCTTGGGAATCTCCTTAATTGTCGTTGAGGCCAATCTGAACAAAAGCCTTTTCTAAACCACCTAAGACAAATTTTTTTTTCCTTAATCTTAAGAGCAGCCATATATGTCAGTTGGCGAGTTCGTCGAAGCGAAATCATGACTTACGCGCGTGTTCCGGTTTCTTCCGATTATGAACATGTTATATTTCGGCAGAGTTGTTGTTAGCAGTTGAATTTCCGCACAAGATTTATTCTTACCATTGTCATCTGCTCTTAATGTTAGAGCATATACTGACGACCGAAATATTGCATTAAAACATTAAAATGGGCATATGCCACACGATCGTTAATCGGTTTCTGCCTAATCAAAACGAAGTGGATCTTTTCAGACGTGACAACCCCTACGCTACATTTCCCACCCCCACTTATTTGAAATACCACAGTGACATAACCAGCACCTTTGCTCCCAGCTAGGTTTAGTAATTACTTGAGACCCAAAGTGAGAAAGGTAAATCTCCAACGCGCAAGCGACAACCACACGATATTTAGAGAATTCGGATAGTGATCCCTTTGCTTGCGATGTTCTTAAGTGTTCCAATGTTTCACGCCACTATGGCTAACACCTCATCACCACGTGCAAAGTACCAATTTCTATTGACAGGTTTTGAACAATTACCCTGGTTCATCCTGTTTTCAAGCCTTGGGGTCATTTTACGCCCGAACTGCGCATGTAAAACAAATTTTAAAACAAATCTATCTCATTTGCTGGATTGAGATTATTTGAAACCTTTAAAAGTTTCGAGAAAAAATGTGGGAATTAGGGATAAATAACCATTAATAACCATGATTTATCGATTGATGTTGGCAAAGCAACTCGCCGACACGGCCTTCCACAATCAATCAATATGTCTTCTATCAACTTTGCCTGTCGTCAAATTTCATTTAAAGATGAACGGTTTTTAGGCTCATGGAAAGATGTTGTGGCTGGCGACAATGTAATAAAATATGATAAGCTAGTACCCAAACAGCCAAAGATGCAAAAAAGAATATCACTTTATATTTAATTTTATTATGTTTTAACATTATTCGTAATATCTATTAATATCTGTTTGGTGATTTCTAATAGCAATAAATTCTGCATTAACGCGATCCACTTACTGGAAAGATTGTAAATTTTCTCATAAACAGCCAAATAAGAAAAAAAGATCCATAAAGATTTTTGCAAGTGGAGAATGGTACTGTAATTCCTCCATTGCTATAATGATAATCAAAATGATATCTTTGCGCAATTAGCCCACTCAATTATAAATTAAATGGAAATACAATCGAACAATTATTTTAACCAAAAATTTCATTTTAAATTTAAAAATTTTTTAAAAAATTTACGAAAATATTGGAAATACCAATGATTTTTCAATTACAAGTAATATGGAAAAGTTTTGCGACCAAAATATCGAGAAAAACATAAGATAGTTGTTTATTGAGGCGAGGATACTGAAGAGCACTCAAAATTGCTATCACGCCTCGACGAAATTCTTTATGACCAATTGCTTTTAATAAATTACTGGGGATCTCTTCTTGTAGATACTCCAAAATTAATCGCTGAGCCAATTCTGCTCGTAAAGCTTTCTCCTTAAAATCCCATTAACGTTATTAAATGAATATTAACAGAAATAACAATAGATATATGGTGTACCTGATTTGTGCTCGTTACTGAATCGCCAGAAAACAAGGAATCTTGAATAAATCGAATCAAGTGAATACAGTTCGATTCCAAGAAAGCAGTTGTTAATACTCGTTTAAGAAATGTTGAGATCATATTATCAATTGCGCTACCGAACAGTACTTGACTTGAAAGTAACAAAGAAGCAAACCAGTGTGGTACAAGAAATAAATGATCTAATAAAAACGCCAGTGAATCCGTGAAACTTCTATAACATGTATTCTAAGAGTAAAAGCTGAAATAATTGAAACGTTAAATTTTTGTATGCATTAGAAAGTTTTTCATTTATACCTAGTCCAAAACACATATTGACCACTGGTGGTGAGATCGATCACTGAGGTTGGGCAATTATCACCAAATATTGTGCTCAGCAAGAACTTCCGAGGTTTTGAAACACCTTCATAGCAATGTGATGAAAAACTACTGCAAAAATCATTGATAAAGCCGAAAACATATTTAAGAAAAGCGATAAGTTTTTAACTAAAAAAAATTTAAAAACTAAGATATAAAATCAAATATAAAGAACATCAATACATTCATAATATATTAATAAATGCTCCAGCCTTGTTTCTGATTTTTCTCCACGTGATAATAAAGATTCAAAAGCAGAGTCAGCAATTTCGGATTGAGGTGCTAGCGCCTTTGCCATCAGTGAAAGGATAAAAGGTTTCAAATTCTGCCCCCGTTCTCTTGTAAATTTGCTCGGAACCTTTCTTACCATCTAAATAAGCATTGTCATTTTTTTTTAACCAAATGACTGGAACTTAAATAGCATAAACAAATATCAACATAATAATTTAGGACAATTTAGGACAATTTAGTGAAAAAGTCAAAGAAAAATTAAAAAACTAACATTCCAAGGATTTAAATCTGAAAGTTGTATGTTATCCTTTAGTTCTTGATCGCTTGTTAAAAATGTGTAAAGCAAATCCGACTTTTTTAAAGCCGACTGAAAAAGAAAAAATAAAGTATAAGAAATAAAGAAGAAATAACAATAAAATAAATAACAACGTACTTCACTAATAAATAAAAAAAATTTGTTAAACATGGGCTGAAACAAACAAAATTATAATGAAAGGCACCCAGTAAATACTAAAAAAACAAATATTTGATATCTACCTGACGCGTTAAGAGCTGAATAAAACGTTCAAATATGGGGCGCTGCATTTCTATGAAAATTCGATTTTTAGCACTAAAAGGTCTTCGAATAGGAAGAGGATCACTTCTTATCAAATCACCATGGAATTCTAACAGTTTCGATTCTAATACATAAAATTCATTATATCGCCGAGTAACTGACCACTGCAACAGGAATTTTGCACAAAAAAATGCTGCAATATTCTGAAATTAAAAAATCAGAAAATCTAAATGGAAAATGAGAAAAAAACCATATAACCTTATTAAGAGAATTATTGAAACAACAATTTTCCGACCCAAAAGCGTTACCATTTAAATCAAATCTTTCTACACACACAGTATACACATAGCTCAATCGACCTAAAAAATAAAGAAATTTTCTTCATTTTTAGAAATTGAAAACATGAATATAGAATGCATACCATTATCACGACGTGGTTGAATATGAGGAATGGTAATCATCCAACGATTAATATCTCGTTGTGCATCGAAAATACTGAATTCATAGGGAGCACAACAGTCTGGTTGACGCTCAGCTAATTCAACCTAAATGTACAAAAAGAAACCTTTTATAGCGCGAAATTACATTAGCAAAATAAAAGAAAATAAAGAATAAAGAAAAGAAAAAAATAAAGAAAGAATAAAGAAAGAATAAGAATATAATAAAAAGCTCTAAATTAATAAAATAAAACTAAAATAGTAAAATTAGTAAAATAAAACGAACGCCTTTGCAAGAAGCACATGACGTCCCATCTACGATTTCATTCTCAATTTCACAACCGCTTTTAAAATTCATCTAAATACGATTGTTTACATTTTCATTAAATACCAAAATAAGCCGAAAAAAACTTTTAATTAATGTGAAAACAAAATTAATGAGAAGAAAAAAATGATCTTAAAAAAATTATTAAATAATTTAATATTTTAATCAACTTTTTGGTTTATTAAAATTAATTAAAATCAATGAAAATACAATATTTCCTAGACCATAAAGGTGCATACATCAAAGTTTAGTAATTGAGAATAATCTGAGTTCTTATCACCCACTGCTTCAGTGGCTATTTCTGCTTTATCATTTGGCAATGAATCATAAGCATCTATGTCACTTAGGCGATCAAATGATAAATCGATAGAAGCTTCAGATGTAGATGGCATCACTATTTTCCATAAACGCATTCTAAATTCAAGAATTAACGTAAAATTCAAATGGAAGAATTAGATATTTGCATAATTAGATAACTGCAATTGTGTAAATAATTCACAATTAATCACAGAGTACCTGAACTGAGAAAGCGAAAATGCTGGTTCCGCTGAAGGTAATATTAAACGTTTCTCTTCATTTAATTTTTCTTCATTGATTAATTCGTCCACAGTTATTGGTGGTGAACCGCATAGATAACCAAAGAAACAATCTGACTGACAAAATGGTACGACGAAATCGCACTGAAGTCGAGTATAAACAATTTGGTAAGCCTAAAAATTTTCAACAAAAAGCAGAAAATATTTTGTCAAAAAAACGTCTTGTGCAAAGAATTCAACTAAATTCCTGCTGGTCATACAAAACTTTACAATTTCAATAGAAGAATCAAGAAGTTCTAATTGACGACTTTCCACAGCTTTTTGAAATTCATCAGCAACCATTTCTGGTAGAGTTATTCGTTCTTCTGCACCACTGTGAATATATCTGCTATATAACAACCACATTTCATATTGAAATTCATTTAATAAATTCTCACCTTTCTATAATTACCACTTATTTACAACGCATATTTGAATAAAAAAAGCAGTTGATTGCATTAAAATATTACTGAAGATGCCGTTAAAATCCTCATACAGTAAATAATGGGAAAATGAAAGGGAATCCAATAACCAACATTTCAACCAGACTAATTATATCTTAGTCAGTCGCCGTTCGAAGAATTACGTAATAGACAGTCGTTTTTATTGCGGCACTAAAACGCGCAATTTTTACGGATCTGACCATGTTGTAGTTCAAGACCAAGATTCGCATAAAACTGACAACTAGTACAAAACAACATCCCCCAAGACTTTTCAATTATCTCAAACTAAAAAATCCAGGGACAGTGAGCGCATTTCAAACAGAATTATTGAAGCATCTCAATGATATAAATATCAATGATTTTTCTGGAACAGCAAACGAATACTGGTCTAAACTAAAAGAACTAAAGGGATGTCTCGGAAAATCAGCCACTTCCAGAAGTTCCAGAAGTTAGCTGGGTATCGGAAGCAACTGTCCAATTGTCTGAAAAAGCTGCCAAAGTACGAATGTCAAGTGATCCTGACTACCGGGTGCTTCGAAGATTTATAACGAAAGCAGCAAGGCAGCAAGAAGACAGAAATCACTAATGGAGTGACATGGCCTCAAGAATGGAGGCGGCGGTTCGATTAGGCGACAGTAGGAAACTATTCTGCCTTCTTCATAAAGCAACTATGACTCGGAGAACGATCAGTGAAATGGTAAGAGACAGCAATGGCGTACTGATCAAAAGTATTAACGATCGCCTCATAAGAAGGAAAAATTTTTTAAGGCCAAACTTAACCATGAAGCACCATCTGTTGCCTCTGATATAGCTGATATGTTTGCCAAAGCACACGTTTGCAACTGCGAGACAGAAGAAGAAATAATTTCAGTTATCCATAAGCTTAAGGCCAACAAAACTCCAGGTGACGGTCTTCGGGCTAAGCTTTTCAAATGCTATCCATCGTCCTTCATAACTCACCTTCAACCAATGTACTCTTTAGTATGGAAAAAAGAAATATTGGAACTAAACAGTTCTGCTCCCAATTCTCAAAAAAGTTGATAGGACATACTTTGACAATTATCGAAGAATCAGTCTACTAGACATCTCAGCAAAAATTTTTGCTTACCTTTTATTCAATAGACTTATAGAAATACGATATAGCAGAATGAACCCTATTCAAGCTGGATTCAGAACGGGGCGCGGTTGTACTGACCAGATATTCACGTTAAAAAAAGTGTTTACAACCCACTGTCACGTGTTTCATTGACTTTGAGGCTTCCTTTGATTCAATTGATATAGCGGCGCTTTGGAGGATGATGGAATGTGACGGTGTTCCAGAGAAAATCATTAGACTCATAAAGGCATTTTATGTCAGCGCAGATCTGTGTATATGGGGAGCTGACAGATTCCTTCGAAATAAGAACAGGTGTCCGCCAGGGCTGCATCTTTTTCACCACAATATTCAACTATGCGATAATGGATATTGCTTGTCGGCACTCAAAGGGTGTCCAATTCAGTCCAAAGCATCATATCACAGATCTTGAATAGCTGATGATGTAGTCCTTTTTGCTGACAGTTATGACGAAATGCAAGCAATGCTAAATAACGTGTCAGAAACTGCAGCAAGAATCGGACTTAGGGTCAATGTAACAAAAGTCTTTTCTTCTTATGCGCAAGAAGATAAAATGCCTCCTTTTGTAAATTCATTGCCGTTTGAGGAAGTGCCTGATTTCAAATACTTTGGGTCCACTGTAATACCAAATGGCCAGTCAAAAGAAAATATTATAGCCCGAATCACGGCAGTTAGAAATGCGTCCTTCTAGTTGACGAAACTTTATCAAGCCATTTCCATTAAAACGAAAGTCCGCATCTATATAGCCCTGATTCGTTCGATCTTGCTATATGGCTCTGAGATATGGCCAATGAGAGTGGAGGATATTAAGAATTTATCTGCCTTTAATCACTCATATCTAAGACACATCTTACAGGTTCGCTGAGTGGATGAAATATCACATGATCTCATCCATCTTCCTTCAAATACCACTTGCATATAATGTTATCACTTAATAAAATCCTACCAGTGATTATAGAAAGCCGGAGTAAAAGGAAACACTAAGGCATTGATCATAGCGTAAGAGCAGGCAATAAGCTCCAGATCCATTGAAGCAGAGATGTACCACATAAAATATTCGTGCAGATTATGCAAAAACGCTCCACAAATAGTCGAACATATAGTAGCAAAATATAAAATGCAGGAACAACACATAATAAAAGGCATAATCAAATAGCTGACATTATTTACAGGAACATCTACTCGCTATATGGCTTAGACTTTTCCGAGATTAAATGAGAGGTTTTTGAGAAAATCGTAGAGAATAAGACCCTGTGGAATTTCGCAGATGTCTGTCTATCTGACAAATCTTCATCTTCTTCTAACAGCTCTCACATTATTAGTTAGGATGGCTCCACCTGCTACAAGGGTAAGACGTTTCCAAGCGGAGCGGCCTGGTGCCATCGTCGACAGTAATAGAAGCCATTCCTTTTTCAATTTTCTAAGTCCATACATTGCTGATTTACCTATATGTTCAAAATATTTCCTGACCGTATCAGTCCAGGTCTTAATTGACCCACTTTACTTTTGACGTTACCCATCACAGGGTTTAACAGGTAATATGTGTCAATTCTCATGAAGGGTGACGAAGAACGTGCCCTAACCAGCGAAAACGACGCTACTTGATGATACTGTTAATGGAAATGGTATTAGGACGAAGGTAAATGTGATCATTTGAGATTTTATCTACTCAGCGAACCTCTACTTCAGACATGAGTGGACAAAGGTAAATAACCTCTTAATATCCTCCACTCTCATTGGACATGTCTCGCAGCCAAGATCGAACGAATCGTGGCTACATAGACGCGGACTTTCGTTTTTTATGGTGATTTCACGACGGCTCCTTAAAGCTTCTGTAAACTGGAAGAAAACGCATTTCTAACTGCCGTAATTCGTTTAATATCGTTATAATATTGTTTTTTTTACCTGGGCATTCGGTATTAGAGCGGAAGTTTTCAGCAAAAAGGACTACATCATTAGCGTATTCAAAGTCTGTTATGCTATGCTCTGGACTGACTTGGACCTCTTGAGTATAGACAATCGATGTCCATTAATCGCATAGTTGAATAATGTAAGGAAAAGGATACAGAAGCTTGACGGACGGACGGACATTCTTATTTCGAAAGAGTCTGTTACCATATACACAGACTTACGCCGCACGCTCATAAAATGTCTTTATGAGACGACTAATCATCTCTGGAACACCGTCGTGCTTCATCACCTTCCAAAGCCTGTCAAATGAATCAAAGAGGGCCGATCGATGAAGCATGATGATGGGTTGTAAACATTTGAAACTTGTCCCTTCTTAACATGAATGTCCGGTCAATACAACCTCGTCCCGGTCTCAATCCAGCTTCATTAGGGCTCCACCTGGTATCCCGTATTTCCATAAATCTATTGAATAAAAGGAAAGCAAAAATTTTCACTGAGTTGATTCACCGATAATTGTAGCAGTATGACCTGTCATCTTTCTTGAGAATTGGGAGAAGAATTGCTTTGCTCCAATCACCTGGTAATATTTCTGATTCCAGTGATAAATGCAGCACTTGGGACAGTAATCGCTACACTAGAAAAGTTTCAGCAGATTCCGGAAACAACATCAGAGATATCTATCCAGAGGACGCACTACCAGGAATAGCTAAAATGCGTAGAACCCTCAATTCCTCAGGCCTCTGTTAGAAAATGATCATTAACACCAAAAGAGGAAAAGAAAGCGATTTTTCTTAATATATTTTTATTTTTATCCTGGTTTACCAAATTTATGAACAATGAATTTCTTAAACTATGTCCATTTTTAGGAATAAATCATTAATAATGGAAGAAAAAAACCTGAACGTTAAGTATGCCTTCATGAATATCAGTGGCATCCGATATAAAACGTAAATCATTAATTGGACCACGAATATCCTTTAAATACATTGTAAAAATTTGCAAATATCGAGCATCACGTAGAATCTCGCTCAATCTTAATTGAAGAAGAGAATTTGGCGTATTATTAGTCGTAGAGCATGTTAAACCATTCAAAAAATCGACAACATTCTCCTGCAAAATTCGATTTATCTCGAAGAATCGTGGTTGATCATTAATTTAATTTTTTTTGATAAAAATAATCTACAATAAAGTAAAATAAAACTAATTAAATACAAAAGAAAATATGAAAATTCATTCCAAAATAAATAGAAATAAACCGCTTCAATCGATAAGGGGTCGACGAATTTCGAGTCAAATAATAATATTATCAAGCGATTAATAGTATCAGGATCAACAAGTAAATCGAGCACTGGAAGTAGAAAACAAAATACAATCAATTCGCGAAGAAAATGACGACAAATATGACTAGGCCATGAGCGCTGAAATTATAATCAATTATTCTACTTTTCTATCTACTTTTCTACTACTATTTATTATCTACTTTTCTCATTCATTCAGCTTATTTCCCATAAAAAATTTTCATCAACATATTACTATTTACAGCGACTAAACAATAATAGAAACTAATAATGAATTCAGACAACTGAGGAAAATTGTGATTATACAAACCGCTACAAAACATAAATGAGATAATGGTGAATCGTTATCATTTGACCAACCAGCAACACGATTCTCATCAACAAGATTATCAACTAAATGATCAGCCACCTGCCGCAAATAATTGACTTCATTTTCACGCGATCCTAATGCAAAATGAATATCAGGAAAATTCTCCATTATTTTGACTTCAATCATCTGAGATGGAAATATCTGAATAAAGAACAAAAATTTTAAGTAAAATATATAATATAACAGCAGTAACCATTAAAAAAACAAATTATTATAAAAACAAATTTGCAAATCTTTGTTATGAAACGTCTTTATCAGGATTATCATTTTAAACAAACGTCTTTGTCAATGGTAGCACTAATTCGTTTTATACGCTCAAGATGTACTACAAATAGTGGTAATAGTTCGGTTAAAATAAATGTAGCCAAATCCAACTCTCGAATTCTACGAAATAATATTGAGCCTCCATAACGAATATGGTACCTAAATTTATCTCTTCAAAAAAAACTCCAAAAAATTTAATTTAAATATTTTGAAAATGAAAAATTAAACTAACCGGACTTCGTTGACCAAAGTATTATCGCTACTAATTTCTGATTTATACCAACTGTTTACATAAGTATCAATCATTTGTTCAAGCAATTCTTCCAACTGATCATTTATAAGCCGCGAAATTTTAAGACCTAAATGAACAACTGAAATTCAATTCTACTTTGAGAAGAAAATGGCGACAAATATGACTCGACGATTGCGTTATACAAAAACTTTTTCGTCATTTTGCGTCATTTTGAAGGACCAAGGAAGGACTTTGAAAAATTATAGTTTTGTCGAAATAAGCATTAATATATCATATCATTTCTGCCAATATAAAAACGAGTTGCTAAGAACAGTGGAATTCTGGAAGGTGGCTTCAAATCGTTCTATTTTCGAAAATGATTCGCTTCGGGGAAGCTAAAATAAAACAAATCGGAAGTTAAAGTCTGTTGGTTAAAGATCTGATGAATATAATGAATGCGAGAAGATATACAAAAGATTAAATTTTCTCAGAAAGTGATCCTTGTAGTGTGGCATTTTCATATATGGACCAGTTCTGTTCGCGTTTCTCTGTCGTGACGTTTTTAGCCTTTTTTTAGACATCACATTCTTTATTAAAAATAAAACTTCGCTCCAGAAAAAAACACAAAAACACATTGGCAGCGAAAAATATATTCTCTAAATCTTCATCTGAAGTGGAGTCAATTCGTGAGGTACCACTTATTTTTCATTTCTCTCGATGATACAAATAGTATCCAAACAGCATCATGCAAAACGAAAAAGTTTTGCGCTAAACCTGTCCGTTCTTCCTCTTGCCATTTTTTACAGGAGATCGTCATGTTTAAAGACTAATCACTGCTGGAACTTCTTCGAGACCCATATCTCCAGAACTTAATTTTGCGAAAAATCCTTGCACCGTTTTTTCTCAGAATAGTTGTCGATAAAAGCTGTTCATATATATTCAAGCAAGTCCTGCTATTTGATGCCAGTGATTCAGAGATCACAAAGTGCCAGAAGTGTCAAAAACCACACCTGTATGTATTAAATCGAAGTGCCTGTAACAAAAGAAAAGAGGACAAAATTCACAATTCGTTTCTCAAGATAAAGAAATGACGTAACGACAACGGCGATATGTGAGATGTGAACTGAATCAGCAATGATAATATTTATGAGAAATAAATATATCCAACCTTCCCAAGGCATTTTTCGCACAAAATCTTCACGAATTTGATTTTCGTAAACGCGATTGGAAGTGCATTTCTCCTTAGACAGAATCTCGAAATCCATTGCTTTACTTTTATAATACATAATAAAATTTGCTAACAAATAACCAACTAAATTTAATATCACACAACCAAATAAGAAAAATGTCCTGAAAAAATTAATTATAACAATAATAAATATATTAAGCAATAATATCATTCTTTCAATAAAAATGAATTTTATTTATGCTTTTTGTTCATTCATATTTTACTTTAATGCGTCATTCATTAAAAATGATATTGAAATGATAATGACAACGATACAAAATATACTTTCCCGCATTAGAACAAAATATTTGCAAGGATGTAGAAAAAATGCTAAGGAAGACAGGTGTGTCTGAGAAAGAATATCTCGATGGCGTTAGGAGTGAAGTGCTACTGCAGCGAATTCCGAGAAGGAAAAAAGGAAGAGGGATCGAAATGCACTATCATTCCACTTTCTATTGATTTATTTTTTTCGAATATAGAAATCAAAAATAATGGCCGCAATAAATAAATGAATAAAGAAAGAAAGAAAAAAAATAATGAATAATAATGATAACATTAATTGAATGCAAGAGTGTTAATAAACAATGTTTTCAAAAAGAAACTTTCCACTCTTTGATGAAATCGAGAAACGAACTAACTTTAACCCAGTAATAAGCGCAAAAATGACAAATAAAAATGTGATAGATATTATCGCAAAGCGACTTGAAAATGGCGATCGAGAATTTGAGAACAAATTATGCATATCGCTCTTCAATAAAGGATTGTAGGACTGGTGTTGAACCCATTCTTCTGAAGTCAAATATTTTAAATAATAATGTTTTAAACGAGAAACTTCGATAATCTGGCCTAGTTTACGAGTAAAGCAAGGGAGAAGCCTTCCCCTTCTCGCGCTTCATTTCGCAGGTCTATTCTTCTTCTTCTACGCGATAATGCGAGTTAAAGAGAGCTGCAAACGTAAGCGAAAGGCGAATATTTGCTGCCAGATCGATGGCCTTATTTGCCGCAAGTAAATTTTTATTTCTAAATTGATTTGCACAATGAAAATGAAGAATTTTAGAAGTACGTGAATTATTACCTTTTCAACTGAACAAATTGCAAGGCGATAAACCGAATGAAACCCCCGAAAATCTGCCAATCCAAAATAAGGAGTTTTGCTAAAATGCAACAAAAACTGAATACGGCAAATTTTTTCGATAAGACAATGCGAAAGAACGTCTGCTGAGAAGGAACTTTTATCATTATGCAAGGGAACTGAATAAACCAAACGGTAATTGTAGATGCAGAAGTGAAAATAAAGCAAACAAATTACTAATATGTTAGTAAATATTATTTACTGCCTTAACCAAAAAATCTTATTTACTAATTATTATTACATAAACTTAAAAGCAAATGTTTTAGTGGCTTGCTCACACTTCAAAGCGCTGACACTGGGGCTCCAGCCTAGGCAGGAATGAACTTGGCTCTTAAAAACCTAAAACCTAAATCAGTGCTGGCAACCTCAATGGCCAAGCGATTCTCCGCCTAGTTCTCCAAGCGAATAAAGGTGCAGCGAAGTTAAACCAACTGAAGAGTAAGACGGCTGAAGCCGACAGTTAGCAATCAATGTCTCTCGAACCATTGTTCGAGGCGGATATTTTGGCAGGCAAAAAGAGGATGAGGTTGGAAGAAGTCCCCTACTCTTGGACGATAAGGAACGTTAAAGAAGGCCAGGAACAAAGACCGATCAATAAATAAATGAGCAAAAAAGTGTATAACCAGTTATAAAAATATACAAAGAATTTGAGAAAAGAAAATAATTTTATTTTCAACTTCTTCGTATTTTAAGGTCTTAACAATCCAATTCATAAAGAGCATCCCCAAAAATTGTCAGCTTCCATGCCATACAGGATAACTGAGTGAATAATGCACTATTGGACCGACTGGGATTCGAAATCTGCCTACCAGGGATGAAACCTGGATGGTCCCACTCATTCATCTACACTTCTTTTGCTAAATGACTATGCTGTGAAGATCTCCAACCATGCTAGCTGGAAATGGTAAGCGTCATTCCATCTACGCCATTTCATATACTTTCATCTTTTCTGTAAAGGGAAGCAGTACGATTAGATATGAAAGGATTGATTATTTTAGATGTCCAGTAATTTACCATCATAACCGTTGAATCTAACTAGGTCCTTGTGTGCAAATGGAATATCTGAAAATGGGACATCCCGCTCCGTTTTCATAAATCCATAGAATCCTGTGGGTTAACATCCTTAAAATAATTAAATTATCAACACTTATCCAATAAATCATTTCTATGATTCTTCGTAAAAAAAATATTACAAATAATACAGTTGAGTATTTAAGATCGATGAATAAAATACCTTTTTATTCATAAAACAATATAAAAAGGAAAAATAAAGGCGAATAAATATATCATAAAATATACAAAACAGTTCATAGATTTTCTAAAAAGAACAGATTTCTTTAATTTTCCTTTAAATTCCGTTTTTTCCACTTTCTTGTCATATTAACTGGTAATTTTACTCGTTTAACTTTATATGCAGCCGTACCAACGATTCTGGGACCTCTGTTACTTGCACATAGAGGTAAAATTGGAGGAACTCGCAAAGATAAACCTCGACCGCCTGGTGTATAGGCTTCTAATCGTATTTTACTTTTTGGTGCCGTCACACAAACCCATCCTATTGATGAAAATATGACATCTGCACATCCAATTTCAAGACCATTACTATCGAAGGATATTTTTTGACTTTTCATCTATAATTTTTTAAATTTATTGTTTAAAATTATTACTAAATCATTTTTATTATTCATAATTTGTAGCGAATTATCAGAAGTTTTTCATATTTTAATGTTCTATAGAAAATTTAAATCTATGTGTTTGCAAGTGTTTCATCCATCTAATAGTAATGACAAATTTATAATGACAAATTTATTTTTTCGAAAAAAATAAAACGAAAATAAAATAAATAAGAGTGATAAAAATGAACTGGTTAATAAATACCTTGTTAAATAAAAGTTTAAAAATAGATTCCAAATAATATTAGCAGTAAAATACCTCTGGGAAATCTGAAAGTCTTTTCGTACTACCAAAAGGGACAACAAGTGCCGGAGATCCCCAATATCGCTCAAAAAATGCCTTCACTTCACATGTTTTCATAACATTCACTGGCAAGGAATCATTTGCAAACACACTTAACTGAAAAAAATAACTAAAACAGATTTGTCTAAAATAAGAAAGTGAAAATATGCAAAAAAATTTTAAAAAAATTTAAAAATTTATATGTGAAAAATTCAGTGTTTTTCGCTAAAGTTTTCGTTTGTCCAACACCATGCACTATTTGCAATCAACAGAAAGCGCGTCATTAACTAATGCATTTTTTCATCCGTCTTTTCATTTCTCTTCTCTTTTTTGCTTATTTCTTTCTTTTTTTTTTCGATTTTCTAAAATCTCGAAGCATGGTATTCGACTAAAATGTTTTGGTTCTATTCACAAAATAAAATATACGAAAGTAGGTCCTCGTTCATCCGCAGTCAACTCAAGAAAGTCTATTCTCGCAATGCCTGCGATCAAAAGAGTCTCATTAGGCTTAACGACAAAAGTCCTCGGAACCATCATTTTTTTCGGCAGTATGGCAATCAGTTCATCCAGAGTAAAGATATTTAAAACCTGCAAGAAAATTTATAAGGACTCCAATAAAATAACCATTATAATATCAAAATTAAAATAAGCTTTATTACAATCCATCATAAAAATTATAGTTTTGACTCAAAATTCTATATAAACTTGAATTTAAATATTAATATTTCTCGAAATTTCATTTACGAATGATAAAATATGGGAACATATGTTATAAAACAAAAGCACCCCATTGATTAAAAATTCATCTAAAAAATTTTTAAAAAAACAAAAAAATATGATAAAATAGAGAAAAATAGAAAACCGTAAATTGACATTAATCAACCGAATCCAAAATAAAACCTGCTCATTATTAACGGTGCCTGGAGTATCATAACACCATTTTCCCTTAGCGAAAGCTTCATGATCCAAAGTCCAACTAAATTGTTTCAGTTCATACATCATCAACAATTTATTTATTAAAAAAAATGATTTACTTAATTAATTACTTAATTATCCTTTCAGTAAAATAGAGAGATCACCTTCGTTTTTTTATGTCTCGCAGCTTCTGTTCGGTGTTTATGAACATTTTTTCATTAGACAAATAAGCTAAATTTGATGGAGCCACCGGTCGAGTTTTTTCATCCATATCCTTTAAGATAATACGTGATAACCAGGTTAAACACCTGTCCTCAACAAATAAGAAAGGACAAATTTCAGACGTACTATTTAAGAATCGCTAATAAACCACAAGCAAAATTTTTATCGAAAATTTTAAGAAAAACCTTGAATGTGTTATCTACATAAGCATGCAATGTGACATATTTTGAATCACCCGTTTCCTTGAGTATATCTCGTGAAAGCCGACGTTCCTTCATCAACCAAGAACGAAATTTAAGAAGTCTATACATAACAATAATGAAAATAAAATAAATGAGTGAATTTATTATTCATATTTTTAACTCAAATTTTTGACATAAGAAAGGTGAAAAATACCGTCGACGCCGTAATTCTAATCTAAGTGGTGTTGGATTCATAACAGGAAATTTCAAAAGTGATATAGTTGTTCCTGGCCAAATAGAAGTTGTTGCACGTTCAACTAAATCCAGAGCTCGAACCTTACATAAATCCGATTGCAAGAGTATATTGAATAATGTCCTAAAATAAATTTGTATCAAATCAAACGAAGGAAAAAATTAGAAGTGGATAAAAGTCTTTTTTATTTCATTTTTTTGCGACTTGTAATTTTCCTTATTAATAAACAATTATATAAAGACATATGAAGAATGATAAAAAAATACATAATAAAAAATTTTTTCTCACTGCCGTATGGGTGGTCATGATCATCCTCAATCTCCGATCCTTAACCAGAGGCTTGGAAGATTGAGGGTTCTGTGGATATTTTAGATGTTCCTGGTACTCCGCTTTTTGGATAGAGCTCTGATGTTGTTCCTGGAATCTGCTGAAGCCACTAGTTTAGTGGAATAATTTTGGCATTTACTTCCCACATCTCTATTTCATTTTTCAGCCCTTGATATATTCTTATCGAACTTCTCATATTCTTTCCTCCTGGTCACACCACGTATTCCCCACACAACATAGACCACTGTGCGCAACCGCACCTTTCGTTACAGTTGCGTTCATGTCTACGTTTGTCGGTGTGGTCTTGTTTGCGTTTGTGTTGACGGTTGCCTTTATTGCCGTGGTCAGAGCGACGTTCTTGTCGCTTAATATTGTTATATCTATCACCAATGCTTATTTCTGATTGTCTATTATCACGATATCCGCTTTATTGGTTGATACTTGTTATAACAATATATCTATATATATGGGGAAGTCCCACAGGACCTTCAACTTATTACTCTCTATGATTTTCTGAGGAATTCCATTTAGTCTTGGGAGGAATTGGGAGGATCTAAGCCATATTTCAGTAAGCAGATATTTCTGTAGATGATGCCGGCTATTTGGTTGCGTCTTTCTTGTCTTGTATTTTTTTATATCATGCCGCTGTGTTTCTGGAACATTTTCACACAATCTGCAACTAAAGTCCTGTTTAATATGGTAGATCCTTGTTTCGATATCTCTATGCTTTCTCAATCAGATAATCAGAAGCAGATATGGATATAAATTCAAGAGCGAAACTACAATCAAACATCTTATCGATAGCATTAATTTATATACAAAATGTGAACGAGATATTAACGAGACATTCGCTCATCCATCCAATTCCGATCAACAGTGAAAATACCCGAATTAGAGAAATGTGTCCGGATGGCAGTAAAGATAGGAAAAGTAGTAATAAATGAAGGAGTGGATCTGCAATCAACACATAAAGACTAGCGCCTTGATACCTCACAATCACAATGCAATCACGATAAGGAGGCAAGAAAGACTGCAACATCTAAGAAGAATAAAACAACGAAGAATAAAACTAGCCAACAAAGAATAAAACAAATCCTGAAAAGCCAACTCAGTGAGACGAACAAAACCCATCTATAAATGTGTATGCCCTGTGTATAGCAAGCAGGAAGACAAGGAGACTGCTCATGTTAAAACTAGGAAACTCTACGCAAATTTCCACCCCAAGCCTAACACCCAAGGATTGCACACCAGCCAGAAATAATGCGGGTGGAGCTTGGTGAGTATGAAATCCACTATTTTGAATGAAATCCGAAGCATTCGTCAGATACGTCAGCACGACGACACCAATGATGATAGAATGTATGTGTAAACATTTGTAAATATTTAAAAATGATCAAGCGGAGGAAATACCATAGTAAAGGAATGCCCTCAATGAATTGCACCATAGATAACTCAAGTAGCTAACATAGTGAAATACTACCAGTGAGGTAAGCCGGAGTAATAGGAAACATTGCACTGAGACATTGATCATAGCGTAAGAGCAGGTACTAAGCACCAGATCCATTGAAGCAGCGATATACCACATTAAATATTCGTGCAGATTGTGCAAAAACACTCCACAAATAGTCCAACATATAGTGGCAGGATATGAAATGCAGGTACAACACATAGTGAAAGGCATAATCAAGTAGAGGGGATTATCTACAGGAACATCTACTTTCTATATGGCTCGAGAAAAAATGCGATTCTTCAAAAAATCTTAGAGATTAATAAGACGAAGATGTTCCTGTTGAATTTCGTCGTCCAGACAGACAAACAAGTACTGGCCAATCAATCGGATATCGCGGCAAAAGATAATCTGCATTGATGATGGATATAGCAATACCAAGCGACAGGAACGTCAAGAAAATGGAATATGAGAAGTCAAGCGCCGGAAGAGGAACTAGAGAACATGTGGAAAAAAGACCAAAATAATTCCACTGATAATTGAAGCTATGATCCTAAACTAGACAAGTGGCTTCGTCAGATTCCTACATACCAGAGATACCATAAAGAAATGCGCACTATTAGGAAGCTAGAGAGTACTCTGCAGAACCCTCAATCTCCTAGGCCTCTGGAAGAGAAAAAAAAGAAAAAGTTCTCCTCCTAGATTGAGAATGATCATAAACACCTACAGTGAGTGAAAAAACTTTTTTTTACAACTTTTAACGTAAAAAAGCTCACGATTTGCCAACATTGGTACACCCAACCAAATAAATATCATTTCTAATCGAATTATGCAAAGTCCATTTCAAAAAAATATTCTAAAAATCAAGAGCAATAATTGAAAAGCTGGAACTTTTTTTATACTTTTAAATATTACAATAGAGCCAAAGATTTTAAAAAGATATTGAACGCTTTTTGGAGAATAAATTTTAAAAAAATGGGACTAGCTTGGAAATAGCAAATTGAGAGTAACACTTGGTTAATTTTATCAAATTTATGAATTTTAATTTTAATTCTATCGAATAAACTTGCGCCATAGTCGAATCCATAAATTTTACCAAAAATAATTTAATGTAAGACATAAAAGAATGTGAAAAAAAAATTAATAGTAGTACCGTTACGAGATCTTCAACCCCAAATCCAGTTTTCGCACTAATTAAGGCAGTATGAAGAATATTAAATTTTTTATCAAAACCAGCATCAATGGCTGCATTTAAAACTGCCTGTCGAAAATGTTTCAAATATCCAGAACGAGGATCGGGCGGTAGCAAATCAACTTTATTACCTAAAATCCATAAATTCTTCAGAACAAAAAGCACAGTATAGAACTAAATAACTTTTTTAATAATAACATTACCATTAATATTTTTTATCGTAATGATTACGAAATTAAGAACAAAAAAGAAGGACAAATACTCACCAACGATGATCACTGGTTTATTATAACCAATAATATTTGGTAGATCCTTGAATATTGATGATGGAAGATCGGCTAAATCAACAATAAGTAGAATTAAAACTTCCTCTTTCATACGTAAATGCTCCATTAACGAACGATAATCAGCTTCACAAATATTAACATTCAACTATAACATATGAATTTAAACTAATATGTAAGGTAAAATTTTAAATTAATAAAAATTTATTTAGATTTTCATTTCAAATAAAAGATGACAGATGAGTTTTAAAAATGAAGAACACGTTGAAATTACCAAAAAATTGTATTTTTTTAACATATAGCATCTTCTGCAGAAATTCTCAAGGTTTTCATCTAGTCTACAAAAAAGTTCAAAAGGTAAGAAACCAGGCAGCGAAGAATCCTAAAAAAGATCAAATTTTACCAAAATTACTCAAAAGTTTAAAATATCAAAACAGCACAAAAAAACTGAACAGTTGAATAAATAAATTGTTGTTAAAATTATTATGGACCACTATATTATAAACAGATCAATTTATTCTTAAAAAACAAAAATAAAATGGATAAAAAGACATTTTCAATATTTCATTTTTTCAAACTTTTAAGAATATTAACAAAAAATTTGTAATAACGATTGAAATTCTTTTTTTACTGGTTAAAAAGTATAAATTCTAGAACATACCTTACAATGGAAAACGGCGCCACATCCAAGACATTGTTTTTCTGATGCGGGAACCGATGGAACAACAGCACCATAATTTTCTAGCCATTCTCTCTTTTTTTCATTATATTTTTTTTCTTGATTTGTTGCCTTTAATAAAAAATAAAACTAGAATAGAAATATTCTTGGCCATTTCGTGCTTAGAAGAAAATTCACAAAAAACTGATCAGTACTTTTCTTATAAAAAACGCTTTTAAACCGTGATTCTAATGAATTTTTTTATTAAAACAACAGTTTTAGGGTAATCTACCCCTGTAATTAGCCCATTTAGGAGAAAAAATAAGAGAGAAAAAGATAAAAAGGAAAGGGATGAAAAAAGCATCTCTTGAAAATAAGCACCGCAAAAAATAAGATAAGGCTTAGGAATTACATATTCTTTTGTTATACACACCTCGCTATACTGACAACCTTTTTTTTTTAAGAGCCCTCACCATTATTGGTTAAACTCGCTCCGAGGGCTTGTCGCAATGAAATATGCCAAGGAGTCCCTTGGCGACAGAACGACAGGTGAATCGCCAGCATCACTAGGACTTTTGGACAGGTTTATTCCTGTGGGGAACATCAGCACCCAGAAATGAGCAACAACTCACTGAGCCATTCTATCTCCACTGCCAACATTTGCTGAATAAAACTAAAAATTATTAGAATTCACCTTAAGATCTTCGCTTTGACCAGGGAGTTGGAAGTCAATTACTTCAACAGCATCTGATGGACCAAATTGCATCGTTGTGCAACTGCAAATGCGCTAATTAAATAAAAAAAATTTTAGAAAAATATGAAATGTTAAAATAGACTACTCTGTCATTTCATCGCCAGGAATTTCCAATGCCGAACCGGCCACATAATCATCGACATAACGACCAGAATAGACATAAAAACCTCGATCGGAAGAAATGGTCTTTGTAAATGACTCCGCCAATTCTGGTTTAATTATCTGTTTGGAAAGATTGCAGTTCAGAAATTCGCCTTTGAGTGGATAATTTACCTTAAATGTAAGATTAAAATTTGACCGCCGATCCAGTTCCTCATGCATTAATAAGTAACCAAAATTATGAAATTAAACGAAAAACTTCTTGTTCACTAGAAATATCCAATGTTTTCTTTTGTTTTTCTTTTATCTCACAACGATGTTTGCGAATCATAGCATACGAATCACTGTTCAACCTACAAGAAATTGACAAAGAAATAATGAC